ATAGGCTTGGAGTCTGGCGCCACCCCGGCGACTCATTCCGGTGCCTCCGCACTTCTTCTCGGCAGCCCGTTTACTTCGGTTCACGTCGTTGCGCCTATGTGCGCTCGCTTGTGAATTTAGTTCATTTTGTTCTGTGCATGTGCATCTGCGAGTTTGTCTTGCGTGTGCGAACTTGTCCGCCGACGCTGGCGGCTCTGTTCGCAAATTCGCTTCGTTCCGCCACCCAGACGCCGCTTTCGCTCCTAGACCGTCGCCAGGGAGCCGCCGACTAAAAATGTACCCCCACCAGCGTCGTCACGGTCTTGGCCTTTGGCGCCACCCTGGCGATTCGACCACCGTTTACCTCGCCTTTCCCCGCCACCATGTTTGAGAGGATCGCACGTGCAAGTCACACCTGCTTCCGCTTGCACCTCCATATGTGTGGTCTGACGCCGCAGCGCGTACACCGAATTCCCTGGCATTTTGCTCTGGGCTGCACGTTGCTCGAGCTTCCCTGGGTGCCAGATCAGCCAGCCAGCCCCCGCCCTGCTGCCCCAGCTGCCGCCTTGTGAGCTGGCCCGGCCGGTTTGTGTCGCGCCCAGTAGCTCATTAGGCTTGCCCGTCGGCACGGACACCCTGCTCGCCGTCTGCGCTTTTCGTTTGCGGCCGCGACCAAAAAAAAATATCCCCACCAGGTTGGACGCCTTTTTGACCCGCGTCACGAGGCCGTTGACCAAAAAGTATCCCCACCAGGCCATCCAGACACAATCGGAGGAATTGTTGAGGCCTCTTGGAGGTTGTCTTGAGCCATGCTCGGATAGAGGCTGTCGGAAGCTATCTTGAACCATGCTCAGTTATTTCGCTGTTGTATTGAGGGTTCTTGGATATCCGCCTGAAGCTATCTTGGGCCATGTCCGGCCTCCTGGGACCGTACTGGGGGCATGAGGAGGAGGAGGAGGAGGAGGAGGAGGAGGAGGAGGAGGAGGAGGAAACAGGGAGGAAGAGGAAGAGGCGGGGGAGGCGACCTCGATGCGTGGGCGGCGCATCGGGGCCCCTGGGGGAACTGAATCCGCCAAGACGTCGTTTGCGGCGCCGCGGCCCAGGGGCGTTGGTGCCCTGGCGGGCCTGGGGCGGCCCCCCGACTCAACAGGGTGGTCCCCGTGCGGAGTCAATTCATCGAGCAACCGTGTTTTTTGATGAAAATATTCGTTGGAAGCATTGATCGTTTCAGGTAGTTTTTTGTTTGTTCATTAGCATTGCGCGGGCAAAACGGCCGAAACCGCATTTGAGCGAACACTCCTAGTATCCTGCGACGTTTAGTGTTTAGCCACCCTTGAATGTTTGCGCGAATCGGGTGCAGTGCGCGTATTTGTTGCCGTTCGCTGGTTCGTTTAAAGTTCCAGATGTATCATTGCAAATTGAGGGTGTTCTGTTTGGTCGGGAGGTTGTTCGGCACAGCTTCGTGGGCTTGTTTGCGGTGGAAACTTCAGAGATGTGTTGTTCATTTTTGTCGGGGAGTTATTCGGCACAAAATCGCGGGTTCGCTCGCGGCCAAAAAAATCGATGCTATGTTATTTTCATGTATTCGGGGAGTTGTTCGGCAGAAGTTCGCGGCTTTGCCGCATCGTCCGATCCACGTCTAGCCCAAACAAAATTTTCTCTGTCTCCCATTCTCGCCTTAGCCCCCATCTTCCCTCGTCCTTGTCATCCTGCCTATTTTTTCCCCCGTCGTTGTCCTCCTCCCCCTCGGCATTCGCAGGGGGTATGTTGAGGATAACCCCCGTCAAAGACCACGAGGAGCTGTGTGCTTTACGTTTTCCTTCCTGCCCGTCAACCCCTGCATCTCTTGCACTCTGGAATTTGGCTGGCAGCGTCGCGCTGTAAAACATTATCGTCTACACTACGTCCTCATCCGCATCCTCTTTGTGCTCCATCATTCCTCCCCATGCTCATCCCCTATCACGCCTTCTCCGTTCCTCCCTGACCCAGCATCGCCTCTCTTCCACTCCCGCTGCAGCCCCCCGTCCTCCGCCAGCCGGATGGGGGCGAGGAGAAGTGAGGAGGATCTCCGAGCATGGGTACGGCGGATACGTTCTCTGCGTGTTTGGTTTGTCGTTTTTTTTCGGGGTCACATTCCAATCCTCCATAGACGCGGAAAGTTACGGCGCAAGATAATTCCGTCACCAGCTTACGACCGTGTTACGCGAGAAGATGTCGCAGAAAGTACGGTATCGGAGTGGCTGCAGGGATTGCTTCTTCTCTCCGTTCCTCCTCCCCCCTACTCCCTCTCGCCCGCCCGACCGAGATTGGAGAATGTATGGGGCGGAAGTCGTGTGAGCGAGTTTCAATGAAAATCCTCACTCCGTCAGGGCTCAAATTGCCTGGGCCTCCAACGCCGACTCGGAGGAGGAGGAGGGGTGCCCTTCCCCCCATCCATCTTCCCTTTTTGCCTGTCGCGGCCCGCCCGGTTGCCACCATGGCGCGGCGCCCGCTAGGGACCGACTGGGAGCGGGGAACGGGAAAACACCGTCCTTTCCATCATTTGTCATGCTTCCATCCTCCCTCCTCCGCCCCCCCCCCTCCAGCGCCAGCTGGCACGAGCCGCCGCTCTGCGCCAGCCAGCGCCATCGGCGCTTCCCCGCGCCGCCTCCCCGCTCTCCCCTGCTCCCGTCCCCTCGGCCGCGCTATGGAGGCGCCTCCCGCGGCCACCGCAAGCCGCCGCAGGCCGCCGCGGAAGGCTGCCGCGCGTCGCGCGCAGTACACGAGGGCCGAGGCGCGCGCGTCAGAACACCTTCTGCGCGCCTTCGCAGCCCTCACCAGCCATCGTGGCCGCCAGCCATCGCAGCTGGCCCAGGCGGTGGCCTCGGCGCTGGCGGCGGCGCCAACGCCCTCTGCGCAGCGGGGCGCAGCGGCCTCTCCCTCTCCGGATGCTGTCGCTCCCGGTGCCCATGGAGGCGACGCGGCGGCTGCAGTCCCCTCGTCTCCGCTGGCAGCGGGACCAGCGGCCATGGCTGCCGAGGCGGGCTTTCCAGTCCACGGGGTTCTCGGTCAGCGGCTGGCGGCAGCGGGCGACGACGTGGTGGTCCCGGAGGGCGAGTTCACCTCCCCCTCTGCCCCCCCCTCTGCGCGGCCTCCTTTTCTTCCCCGCGGCACCCCAATCCCAGGCTTTCCGCCTAGGACGCGGGCGGAGGCTGATCCAGGCCCCAGCCCTGCCACTGCTCTAGGCCTCGCGCAGGGCTTATGCCCGCCACCGTTTTTTCGGCAAGTCTCTGTACCTTCACGGCCGTCAAAGCCAGTGCCACTCCCAGTACGCCCTGCAGCGCCAGCGCCGCCAGCACCTTCACGACCGACAGGGCCGGTGCCAGTACTCTCACGCCAGCCAGAAGCAGTGCCAGTGTCAGTGCCGTCGCCAGCGCAGCCATCATGTACGCCACCGGGGATCACAGCAGCGGAGGCGAGGGCCTGCCGCGCTGTGCTGTCAGCCTCGAGTAATCTGTTCGCGGCCCCGCAGCAGTCACAGGCAGACCCAGTGCCAGGGGCGCAGCTGCCGAGCCCCACTGCGCAGAGTCCGCCACGCCACGACGACTCTAGGCCCTTTTTCACCTGTACCCCAGCACGTGCCGCCTTGGATGCAGCGGCCGCAGCGCGGCGCGCTGCCGCATCTGCCGCGCACCAGTCTCCGCCATAGGCGGCTCGAGTCACCAGCCATCCTCCAGAGCTCAGCCAGTTTTTCCCGCCGAAGGCGGAAAGCCAGAGCACGGAGGGGGATGGGCAGGTATGGCAGTTTTTTGCGGCAGGTCTGGCTGCCCTCTCTGGCCTTCGCGCACAGCTACTCTGCACAGCTCGGCCTCTCCTGAAAGACGGGGTGGAGCCCACATGGGAGGGGTCGGCCACGCCCTCCTGAAAGACGGGGTCGAGCCCACATGGGAGGGTGCGGTGCCAGCGCCAACTGGCTTCGGCTCAATACGCACAGCGCAATTCGCAGACTCGCCACGGCTGAGTCAAGGCTGCGGCAAGCATATATGCCTCGTGGGAGGACCGCGGCACTGTGCCTTGGCTTGTTTCTTTGGCCCTCGTCCAGGTGTAGCAGGGTCCCCTTGGTCCCTGTGTGCCTGTGAGGGGCCACACGGAGGTGGGTCTCTGTTGTCTGGTCTCGGCTAGCGCCCAGGCACACCCACCTCCCTGTCGCGGACGGCCCGTCCAGGCCTTTCAGCTGCAGCGGCCGCCCTGCAGCACGGCAGTGCCATTTTGGCCCTCTTCCCACTCTTCCCGCCTCATATGGGAACCCCCGCCCTTCCTCCAGTCCAGCACTCCTCCCCTGGAGGTTTGGACAGCCGCACGGCGGCCTGGCCAATTTGGCCCTCCTTCCAGCTCTTCCCTCTCCTTCAGCCGACCGCAACCTGGACGGCACACCTAGGCAGGTCTCTCCTTTTTCCAGCCTTGCACTGCTCTTTGCCTCGAGGGCTGCCCTGCTATGGGCAACGAAGCAGGGCCCCGCTGATGCCTCTCTTCGCACGGAGCTGCAAACTCCTCCTCTCTCTGATAAGATTCCTCTGTTCCCCTCCAGCAGCGCCAATACCTCTCTCCCGACAGTTTTCGGGACGAGAGCGGAAGCAGCTCAGCGTCCATGCTTTCGGGCTTCTCGTGTGCAGCCTGTGCCAGTCCTGTTGGCCTCAACGCTCAAGCTACTTGCAACGAGCCTAGTGAAGTCAAAAAGCCCCCCCCCTCCCTTCCTCCCTCCTCTCTGCCCCGGCTACTCCCCGCCCTTTTCCCCTCTTCCGCCCGCCCCGAGGGAGGAGGGCGAGGGAGGACGAGGGCGAGCAGGGGCGAGGAGGGCACGCAGCACGAGGGCGAGGACGAGGAGGGAGGGCGAGAAGGAAGGGGGGCTGGAGGAAAGCGGGGGCGAGGACAGGGGGGGCAAGGAGGAGGGCGAGAACGACGAGCGAGGGCACGGGCGAGGAGGGAGGACGAGGACAGAGAGGGGAGCGGAGAGACGGACCCTCTCCCCCCCACCCGCACAG